ATGTAATTGTCTGAAATGTCGAGGCTCAGTCTCGAGCTGTTTAATGCACCTTTCCCGCCCCTGGCTTCTCCTTCACTCGTCAATAGCTCGACGCAAATTTGGAGCAATTAGGGACCCTGAGTTTTCTAAAAGCTGCAATTAACGTCGAAATTTCCGCTGATTATAGACTTCGAGCACAGCGCAGGGGGGAAGGAGGAGGGAGTCAGATCTAGGCTCAACGAAAGCCAGAGAGAGAAAATTCCCCATTCCCGCAGGGGCTCCCTGTTCTTCACACCTCCCCCTGCCCTGACCCTCGCTGTCTCACGGTGCAAAGAAACAACACACAACACAAAAAAAACACTCAACGCCGCCAGCGTCTCCTCGGCCCCAACCCTCGTCGCAGCAGCGACCCTGCGCGGCTACCTCTCTCAGGCGCCGGGGTAGCCGCCTAGTGTTTCCCGCAGCTGATTGACCCCTGGCCGGGCCCGGGGTCAGGGCCCTATTTATTTTCTGGCCTCCCTTCATCACCTCTGCGCTTCCCTTTCTCTTTCCGCCAGAGCAGCCTCTACAAGCCCCAGTGCCCTCATCTTCCCCGCAGTCCATCTGATAGAAAACTAGGGCGGGACCTACTTGTGGGGCGCAGGTTGGTAGTATTGGGGTCCGCTCCCGTGTTCGAGGCCGCGGCGGACGAAGAAGGGGTCGAAGACGCCATCAGTTCTTTGGCCTCGAGGCTTCTGCTGTTGGGAGTCCTCTGTGGGTCGGGCGCAGAAACAGGCTGCAAAGAGAAGCAAGCTCTGTGTGTGGAAGGCTTCCGGGATCCGGCGCGCGGGAGACAGCTGAACGGCTGGGGGCACAGACGCTCCGGCAGGAGTGCCAGCGCGCGAGAGAGAAGAGGGAGGAAGGGCAGAGAGCCCGCTGGGCTAGGGTGCGCCAAGGGGAGGGGGGAGACGTGCGCGGGAGCTCGGGGACTGGGGCGCTAGCAACGTAGCCTGGGGAGGCTCTCCAGTCTGGCGGCGCAGCGGGTGACCTGGAGAGCAACGTGCAGACAAGGGGTATGAGGGTCGCAAGGGTGGAAGGGACCGCGCTAGAGGAGCAAAAAAGGCTCAGTGGGCGGTTTTCGAGCCGAGCCGCGACAAGCCCCATTGGGCTCTTAGCAGCGGGCGGGCGGGGGGGGGGGGAGGCGCGCGGGGCGGGCACGTCTGGTTCGGTGTCTGGTTCCCGTTGTTGTGTCTGGCTAATTCCCTGGAAAGAAGAACGCTCTCTGCTCCCGGGACCAGAGACTTCGCTGAGACAAGGTGAGAGGGGGGAAAATAAAAAAAAAAAGCCGATTCCTTTATGTCCTCTTTGGGATTTAGCTACGGAAGAGCCATCCGTGGTCATCCTGCACCCTAGACAGCCAGAAAGCTGCGGGTGGGAACCTCGTTCGTCCCCTTCTCGTTCCACCCCTCTTGAACCATCTTGACGTCTAGGGCGAGGTACAGTCCCGGTTTCGGCGTTTTCCTTTGTACCCAGTTCCTCCAAAACCTCAGGTTTCTCGAGGTACAGACTCAAGGGGGAACGAACTTGCGCCCAGCGCAAAGGAGGCGACGGACAAGGAATAAATAGTTCGCGGCAGCCCACTTGGGCGCGCCGGGCTGGCGTGATGGCTTTCCAAAACCCCAGAACATAGAGTGCAGGTGAATATGGGCAGATCTAAGACCCCGCAGAGAAGCACAGGCTGGCCACCGCCTCCAACAGTCCCCAGCCCCACAGTTAGCCCAGCACGCGCGCACTCGCACGCAGCTCACAGTATCAAGAACAGGCGGTAGATCTTTACTGCGGGGAAGTAACAGGTTACTGCTCCGAGACGCGCCTTGTGCTGCGGCTGCTCCTTGCCTAGACAGGCACCCTCAGCACACAAGAGCAAGAGCAAATCGCTCTAGCCCCATTTCAGCGCGAGGCTTGAATCCCGAGAACAGGGATAGAAAGAATGCGAGGGGCAGGGTGTCCCTCCACTGTGCACCAACGCAGAGGCTGAGCTGCGGTGGGCAGGACGCACTCCTCTCGCTAATGGATCAGGGCGGGTGACCAGAAATCTACAGGCGAAGAGGTCCCAACCGAATGGCAGAGGCTGCGCGCTGGGGAAGTCCGGGCGGCAAAGCGCTTACCCACCTAGATTCGGCTACCACCAGCCAGACGCTCCCGCCGCTTCTCCGCTCAGCGCCCAGAGATCCGCTCAACACCGCTTGACTGGATCCTGCCAAAGGCGTAATCTATTTGCTCCGTGTCACCTCCAGCTGCAGCCTGGCTCTTGCTAGCTCTGTCCCGCACGCGAGCGTCAGGAGGAGAGCAGAGAGATCCGGAGAGGCAGCTGCTGGGCTTCGGGGAAGGCGGGGGCGGAGCAGGGAGGCGGGGACCCGCTCCGCGGGGAAATCACGAGGCTGCTGCGCGCGGGGGCCGCTCGTCGGTGAAGCGGCGAGGCTCTTTGCAGGTGCCTGACCGCCTCTGGAGCTTTATAGGGCGATTATAAATCCAGATCACGGTTTTGCGCCCGGGGGGGGAAAAAAAGGGCCTATGAGTAATCCTGTACGTACTCAAAACATTCTATTTTTTGAAATAGGAAGGGTGTCGGGTGAGAGGAGGGAAAGATAATTCCTACGAATTCTGTCACGCTGAGCGCGTCTTCCTCCCTCCTCCCTTCCTACACCCCCCACCCCATATCTGTGAGAAGACCAGAGCAGTGGCTTTGCCTAGATCCCTCAGTTCTGCGACTCTGCGATGCTTCCATGAGTGAAAACGAGCGCTGGGTCGTGTCCTCGCAGGCTCTCTACTGAGCCAGAATTGTTGTAGAGGCAAAGGAGGCAGAGATGGGGCGGGGAGGTGGGCGATACTCAGACCATAGAGCAATCTCTGTCTCTCACTGCCCTTTCCTCATCCATCTGGGGCTTCTTGAAAGTACATGGTCGTGCAGCCACTTCACCTGAGCACAACCACCCGATACCACTGGCAGAGAAAGGAACTATGCGTTCACTTGCTAGCTCTGGTTCCTTGGTGACTGGGGAAAGGAACCCTCCTGATTGATCACGTCTGAAGGTTAATAACACGCTCCAGCGCCGCTCCTGACACATCGGGAAACCGAAAACAGAGGTGACGCCAGGGACCTGCTTGAGGGCAGACTGGCTTTCCCCGCCTTGGCCCACTCCCCTTTCTATTTCACTCCCTTTTAGGATTCTCTCCTTGCAATATTTAAGCACATTTAATGAATTGGCTGTGTTTGGAAATGCCCCTCTTCACAAAAAGGCAGCCACAGAAAAATTTACCACCAGAGGGCGCCAGGCGCCCAGAGACCGAGAGGGCCTGGGCTTGTCTGGTCTGGTCTTGGGCGCCCAAGCCTACACCTGGAAAAGGCTGGCTGGGCTCTGTAACTCGTTCATCCCTCAGCCATCCCTCAGTTATCCCTTTCGTCAATATAGGTTCTCCCTTTCCCTCTCCTTCAGGTTCCTTTTCTTAAGGTAAAAACAAAGTGGATTTCTGTGTGTGTGTAATACCATGTAATCAGTAATTTCTTTCCTCGTTTTCACAGATTTCTCCCCCACCCCCACCCCCGTTGCTGCGCAGCAGGCTGCAGTTATTTACCATAGGTCTGGAGCCTGGCTGGCCAGACCCTTCTCTTTGAAAGATTTACCGCCTTTCACCACTACAGGCTAACTATCTTACAAATTACCGAAAATTCCATAAGGGAGATCGAAGATGCCACCCTGGGGAGAAAAAGTCTGATCAGCGAGAGGCAGCTCAATGTGAGCTTTGAAATAACCACTTTGCCCTTGATATTAAGGAAAATATCGTCGCCTTCTCTCTACCTCACAAGAAAAGACCTGGCACTTTTTAATGCCAACGCATCCCAAACGGCGTGGCAGGCGTGGGTTAACAGCAGCGTGGGGTAACAGCAGACCGGGACGCCAGAGCTTCAGGCTGGCCAGGGTGGGCGTGTCCGCTCCATGCAGGAATAGTCCCCATAAACCGCGCACCACGCAGCTTCTCCACTGAGCTTGAGATGTACAATTAACCACCAAGTGAACCTCCAAATTTCACTTACGCCCCTTCCTCGAGCTTTACCTAAAAGATATGGTGTCACCAATTACGGAGTCCAGTGCCACTGCTAAATTATTCAAGACACAGAGGACAAGGGGACAAGCGGGAGCAAGCTACAATTCCAGCGCCCCTTGGTGTCCGTGGTCCGTAGAAGACGCCCGCTCCTCCTCAGTCTTTCCACGTTCTCCCAAGCCCTGAGATTCCTAGGAAAAGAAGGTTCATTTACTTCACCTGTGGCATCAAATTGAGAAATTTTCGACCACTTTCTCCTTTGACCTCAGCGTTCCAATCAGTCGCTTTTAACCTTTTAACCAAGACAATAATCTCATTGGAGAAAAAATAAAGTCTTCTCGGTATCACAAATTAAATTGAGTGCCCCCCTCTCTTTCTCCTTTATGTTTGGGAGGGGAGGGATGAGGGCGTTAATTTTAAAATGTTTGTTAGTAATTAATTAGCTAAACGACGATTTATTAATCCATCGCCTACTATGTGCCAAGCACCGTTCTCATGGAGTTTATCTCGCCCCCAGTGCTCTCTGAAAGTAGCTCTGGTGGCGCAGTGCCTAAGGCATTTGACTGCTAACCAGAAGGTTGGAGGTTCATAACCCACCAGCCGCTCAGCAGAAGGAAGATGGGGCAATCTACTTCTGTAAAGATTTACAGCCTCGGAAACCCAATGGGGATCACTATGAGTTGGAATCCACTGGATGGCAGTGAGTTTTTGTTTGTTTGTTTTCAGTGCTCTCTGAACTCATGGTGTTGACATTCCAGTTAGGCAGGGAAAGTGGCAGGCTGGGAACTTCATGGCTTTGATTTTTCAGTCGTCGCTCACCTCAACGCAGACTCTTGGGCTCAGCAGGGATGATAAAAGACTGACGGTCTGGAATTCCACCCAGTCTCAGTATCTCGGATACTGAGACCCGGCCCAGTCCTTTCAGCACCACGGACAGCGCCATCCATACTGTTAGACTTAGACCCCCGCTCCGCTCGCTTCTGCCGCTAAGTAGCTCTCCGCCAATTCTCCTCGGGCTCCAGTCCATCGCCCTCCAGACAAAGAAAAAAAAAAAAAAAAGGTTGTTTTGCTAGGTTGGAGAGTGGGGTGATTTGCTCCCTCCAGTCCCTGGCAAGGATTTGGGCTGAGGGTGGCTGTGGTTGTCTTTTAGCCCTTCAGAACATACGGAATCTTTTTGTTTGTGGTTTTCATTCTTCTTTTTATCTTTTATTATCGGGTGTGGGGGCATGTTTTGGATAATGGGAGTGGAAAAAAGACATCCTCTCCAGGGACTCTAACCGGAGGTGAAGGGTGGGCCGGAAAGGAGTGGTGTCGGCCCAGCTGTTCCGTTTGCATTTGATCTAAGGTTTAGCGCTTTGGAGAAATCGGAACACTACGCCAGAGGGAGAACAAGGAGGGGGGCGCTGTGCGACCCCTCAGATCGCTCCCAGGCTCTGGGGCTCTGTGAGCCTGTAGAAGCCGTTCCAGTCTGTCTGCAGAGGACAACCTTCCCTTAGGTCAAGAATGGCTGAGACTTGAGAACACGACTCTCCGCCTACAATGCCCTTTCCGCAGGAGGTCTAAAGACCTTCCAAACCGATTCTGAGCTAAGCTTTTCCTGAAAAAGTAAAACGGGGTGAGAGGAGCGTAGGCATGGAAGGGGCGCCCAAATGGGCTGCGGG